GGAAATAACGAATTTTTTTAATAACTACATATAGTTACGAAAGAAAATACAATTTTCTAAAGGTATTGGGATACTCGTTTTACAAAAATGGTAAAGTAAAACAGGACAGACGTGTAAAATCATATAAAAATACAAAATTTTTATTTCTACTAAATAAAAATTGTTGACTGAATATATTTAATTGTTCACTGATATAAATAATATAAAAACTGATATAAAAACCATGAATATATATGGTTTTATGAAGATCAATAAATGTGTTATCTTTTGTTTCTGGGCTAGTGCATTCTATTTGGTCAGTTTTGATCTCATCTTCGATTCTAATTTGCTATACATCAATACTATTATACGAAATCAATTAAAATCATAAACGAAGCACATAGCAAAGGAATTCTTTTGTCCGTGTGCTAAAGTGTTCCGTTTTGCTCTGCGCAAAATAATTTAGAAAAGCATGTGAAACTTACAATTTAACATGGGATAAAAAATAATTAAAGTGTCAAAAGTAGAGCTTAAGGAACGTAGAACACAGTACTGTACTTATCTTGCTCAATTTCTTTAATCGAAAAGTAGAAAAAATGCTTCGAACATCTATGTAACATCAAAACTTCTTTTACTGAATATCTTTCCGATACTTCGAAAAATCGAAAAATAATTAATGCACTACACTGCAATCTATCTCAAACTATATTGAGGACTTAATAGAACCATGTTATGCGATATCAACTCGACACGAGACGTTTATCTATGAAAAACATTACTGTCCCGTTTTACCTGATCGGTCCGTATTACCCTACTTTCCTTTATAGTTGCGTGGAATCGCGTTTGGTGCTGGAAACAGTGGTCCAGAGAACAATTATCCATACACGGATTGAACTGCGGATAATCATTGACACACGGCGATGTGTCATCTGGAACCGCAACTGCTGAACCAGAGGAGCAACGGACCAACCCTACTGCTGCATACGTTGACAGCGGGCAATCAGCGACGTAGTAGCGACTGACAGCAACATCTCAAGGAATAAATCACTTGGGTAAATACAATAAATCGTATTTTTACCTATTTCATGATCAGCAAACGAAAGAAATTAACGATACACTTATTAAGAAAGGTATAGAAAGTCGTACTACGTTCAATTAAATGTATAGAAAATACGCCAACTTCAAAATAAGCTGCAGTATTACGTAATTAATAAATCTGCAAATACAATTATGATTAAATAAATAAATAAACTTCTACCAAAAATCCTATTGAGCGGTGTACTTTTTTTACATATTCCGATTTCTTGTTCACACAGAAAAATTTCATTCTTAAATGATTCTGTTCCTAAAAAGGGTGATTATGTGACTTATACATTGAGGGACTCTATCAGTTAAGAAGATGTTTGAAATTTATCCTTATCATTATAATTATAATAACCTTGAAATTACAAAGCTGAAACAACATCTTTTGATTAATGGATATTTGTAAAAGAAACTTGAGGTAAAATTATTTATAACACTGAACATTGGTATAAAAATTCGTAAGATGTGATAGATTTAGATAGATTGTTAAAGTTTATCAACGATCTGATTTTTTAAATTAGTCTTAGACATTATTTACAGAATATATTTAACGAATGCTAATTCGAATGACATTATACGCTATTTTATTTTATTAGATTTTATTTGAAACAAGTATATCTTAATGTATCTGGACATAAAAATTAGTTTTCTCAAAGTTAAAACAGTACTATTCAATTCTCATGTTTCTACGATTTTCATAAAATTGACAAACGTTACATAAAATCCAGGTAATACTGCAGTAAATGGACGAATTCATAAATGTTGTAAGAATTGCACATTTTAAACAACGTTTTCCTCCGAATTCCTAGTTCCTGTGAGCTCTGTGTCAATCATAGCCGCGATGAATACAATCATAGCCGCACACTCGTCATCATAATAAAGGTTGGTACGAATGGGGCTAGGTGACAATGGGGTGGGGGTGCTGGGGACCGGACTTTGCTCCCTCTTCCACCCACACTTTTACTTTATAATTTTCGAAAATTCCTCCAGTTTGATGGCGGCTTTCTATGAAAACTAAGAGTCAAAGCTAAGAAAATGTATAAAAGGTGGTTATTTCAAGACATGCTCCCCGAATCTTACAATATTCGATCGGGGGTTGATGCAATAAGACGCCTTTGCACGTATATAATTTATATAATTACTGTGTAATATGTATATATTGTTGCGATACATCGAATTAACGAGGTTGCGATGTATCGAACTCGTCCCTCTAGCACGCACGGCTGAACCAACCCTTAGGATCTGAAGGGGGTTGAAATAAACTGGTCGCTAAGGAGTTGGTCAGAGTAAACGAAGACAAACGAGTAGTCTTTGAGCGAACGTTGACGAGAATCGACGTGTTGAGCTATAGACTACATTCTGTAATATTTGTATGAAATTGTAAATATTATTGTAAATAAGAACATTGTAAATAAACATGTCGCGGGCGAGCACCCCAGGACCCGCCCAGCACAACAATATATATATATTACATGCAGCAATGCATAAATCGATATACATTTAATCGTGGCTAACGATGAAATGAGAAACATGAGCAACAGTTAAAAAAATGAAATAAGATAAAATAAAATATATCAGAGTCAACAGCTTAAAAACTAGTAAACTAATAATAAGAGATTGTAACAAAAAAGGTATAGATTAAAATAGGTGAAAGTATAAAGTGAATCAAAGTAAACGAACAGTAGAAAAATAAAACAATTTAAAAGACTAGAAATAAAATAGTATACCATTTTACTCTCAGCTAATATAGCGTGCAACTGATGAAATGAATGGGACATCCATCCCAGCCATAACGCGTTGGCATCAAGAGTTTCAGTACCCAGGACCTCGTCAATGAAAATAAAAATAAATAAATAATAATGCGTAAAATAATAATCATATAAATAAATAGATATAAAAAAGAACGAATAAACATAACGATAGAATAAGTAAATAAATAGAGAGTAAGAAAGATAAAAACAAGTTAATAGATAAATAAATAAAAATCAGTAACAATATAAATTAACAAGAATGGATAAATAGTTAAAATAAACAAATAGATCAACAGTTAAATAGATAGTTAGAAAGAGTAAAACAGAGATAAAATAAATAAATGCGTAGTTAAAATAAATAGGTATATAATTAAAATGGGTAAATAAATAGATAAAACAATGCCATCCAACTTAGTCTGCCGTTGCTTCCTTTGTGTTTCCTTTCTCACTCCGTGAAAGAGGAAACCTCCCAAGTCCTCTTCATTTTGGCTTGGTCCAGTAACCGAAGCACTGCTGGGGAGAACTGCGCGGTATTAGCAAACTCCGGAGGCGTGCTCCACGTAAATGTTACTACACTACAGTGTTCTTGCGATCAGTGTTCGCTATGAATCTCAGCCGTTAGAGCTCGGTAAATATCCCCACCACTGAGAGATGAGTCCTTTCGGTAAATCACGAAACTCGACGATCGAGTAGTAGTAATATGATATGCCGTTCAGCAATGGTAGATATTGGATAAACAATACTGATACAATGATAGAGCTTCTTTATACAGTCCTTTTTTAAGTTAAACTTTTACTAACACATTTGTTAGATTTTTCGGATTAAACACGACCAAACACGATATACTTTAAAACTCGTTTACTTTCTAACTTTTAACGTATACTTTAAAACTTTTCTGCTCCTTACAACCACTGCTACTACGAAGCCAACACCAAATATCTGGACCGGCTGCATTGCTTTGCCAAAAAGCACCCGGACCCTGTAATACCAATTATCGCAGGCCTATTAGTGGGATCTGCTCGATTTCTCACATATATGAATAAGCAATGTCTGCCAGATCGAGGTTGCCCGTCCATACCAAGCTTGATTAGCCTAGCTTGGGTACTCTGGAACCACCATTTCCCATAACACCATCACCAGATGGCCCCTGGGATGCTATTCTCCCGACAGAGGTACCATTAGCTTTATTTCCTTGTACCCGCCGTGAAGGCTCAACAAAGAAGGCCCCCATGAGCGCGGGACTGAGATGAAGCTCAATCAGCTGGAACCGAAGTCCTACCAGCGTTGCCTCATGGGGGTAACGAGTTCCGTGGAGATAGGCTGTTGGTAGCGCCGAGCTACCTTTCCAAAGCTCTACTATCAATCGGATAGTACCGGAGTAGGTGGGACGCTGCTTACCCGCCGGGACCCGGGAAAGGGGGGTCCGCAACCCAGCATGCGAGCTTTAAACCACTGCCCCCTCGAGTCCAACACCAAAGTCCAGTATCCTCATGGACACTGGGCACCGGCCCTCGAGGTACCAGTCCATCACAGTCAACTGGTTGGACCGCTAGGATAAGGAGTAAAACTTCTTATCTTCCATGTTTAGACAGCTCGTCCCTGCTTTGGATTGATTGGCCATTGCTCAGCTCGGGTTATGCCCCGGGGATCACCATACCTGTAGCACTGTACTGAGACAGCACCCCCTGGGTCCTCCTAAAAAAGGAGGACAGGCCTTATATGCCAGTACCAGCTTATATGCCTATTGAACGATGTGGGCAAGATATTTGAGCGCATAGCCGTTGCCCGCCTCTCCCGGTACCTGCCCCGCGATGAGCCTGACCTAGCGGACTACCAGTTCGTTTTCCGAGAGGGCACATCGACGATGGAAGCCGTCGACCGAGTACGGGCTCTCTCGGAAAGGGCAGTCAACCTGGGTGGAATATGCTTGGCGATATCGCTCGATATTGTAAACGCATTCAACACTCTGGCCTGGGTCGCCATTGGAGAGGCGCTTGTGCAACACAACGTTCCTCTTTACCTGTGGGCGGTGGTCGGGTTATAACGGTGGGATAGGGAGATCAAATACCCTGGTCGGTACAGGGGTCCATTTTGAGCCCCTTATTGTGGAACCTCGGATACAACACGGTCCTGTAAGCCTCACTCCCCGACGGCGCCACCTACATCTGCGTAGAAGATGACACGTTAATGGTGACCGTCGAGAGCACCTTCGGGAGGACCATCCGACCAGCAGAGGTTACGGTGGCAGCCGCTGTCACGAGGATCTACGACCTGGGACTGAGGATAGCCTCGGAGAAGATCGAGGCCCTGTGGTTTTACTGCCTGCCTCCGTGGAGACCTCCGGCAAGATCATGGGTACGGGTGGGTGGAGCCTCCGTAGAGGTGAAATATCTGGGACTCATCCTCGACAGCCACTGGAGCGTCGAAGTGCACTTTGACCACCTCGTTCCTCGAGTGGAAAGGACGGAGGCCGCTCTAGGCTACCTTTTACCCATCCTCGACGGACTTGGTACGCCGACTATATACGGGAGTGGTGCGGTCCATAGCCTTGTACGGGGCTCTCATATGGGCCCCAGCCAGGACGGCCAGCCAGAGACGGAAGGTTATAAGGATCATCCGTGAGTACTGCAGCTTTACGAAGAGTGCAAGAGGGGAGAGGAGGCATACCTAAAAAAAAAATTATTGGTCGCCCTGAAGAGAAAATCTTGAACAGGCTCTTTTTGAGGGAGCTACGGGATCTCTTTTCGAACACGCCCAAGCCCAGTTGGCTTAACGGCACCGTTCTGGGGAGGATGGAACCATCCTCCCTTCTGCTCCTCCTTGTCCTTGCAGTGCGCGGGTTCACGCCGCTGCCACCCCGCGGCCAGGTGTTAGTGAATCCAGGGGGGGACTCCACCGTGGACCCATGGCCGCTTGTAGGAAGGGGCTGACGTTCGTGCCCCTTCCCTTTCACTAGCGGGTGCCCCATCACCGCTCGGTGGCCGGCAGAGATCTACCCCGCCGCTACACTCCACCGACCCAATGACTCTAACGCAGCGCTATGATGTCGGGGCACACATTAAGCATATTGCTGCGCTAGGTCTTCCGCCACACAAGCGACAGACAGATATATACCTATATGCCTCTACCTCCCTCCCGTTAAGTCCGGCCACCCCCTTTTATCCTAGACCCGTTTGTAGGGGTAGGGCGACGAGTACCAAGTTATAAGTTATAATAAGGATGGTCGACTTGAGAGAATAATTTCTTAAAATTCCAGGGAACCCCAAAACTCGCTGAAATTATTCTCCTCGTGATCAGGGGGTCAGGCTCCATCATCGCAATGCGAGAAAAACCCAACTTGGAAAAATCGACTTCACCGGGAATTGAACCCGGCCTTTCGCATTACGAGTCTGAAAAAAATATCGTCCAATACGGCGTTCGAATCCATGACCCCGAGATTAAGAGTCTCATGCTGTACCAACTGAGCTAGCCGGACTACTAGAGGAGGCATACCTCTCCATCCCGAGTACAAGGCCGGCCTTGGTAAAGAAATGGCCGGCCGAGCTTGGGGGAGCCGCGGGTGAGTTCTGTATAAAGTTCCCGTATCTCCCCCTCCAAAGCCTGTAAAAGGTTGTCGTGGAGGTTTTAATCGGGGGTGTCTGGTGTCAGATTTCTTCCACGTTAAAGGAAAAAAAAATCATCTGCGTTGCACGGTAGGTCAAAATATCACGTTCTTTCCAACCATTCCTCTGAAACGGACAGGGAGACTGCAACAATAGTCGACTAAGCAGAAAGCACGAGATAATTTGCTCACACTGGCGGTACCATTCCCCTCTAGCAGAGAATCTTGCGCAGGTTACATACAGTTGGCCCACAATATTCATTCCGAGCTGCGGCAAGCTAAACAGTCACAGGGATGAGAGAAGCCTTCCACTCAAGATGCTCGCGTCAATAAGTATAGAACAACAATTGATGTTATTGCCGAGCCGCGTTACGAGGAAACCGGATGAAACAGGATGCGATGGAATGAGATGTAACAAATATTGACGTCGGATTTCGTTTTTACGCGGCAGTGACTTTTTATGTTTACCGAATCTCGGGTACATGGAGTACCCGACTACTGTGCACCCTGGAAGGACCGAGGTGGAGCATGCAGCCAAATACCCTTGCTTCTCTCCCCTCAAAACTTGTCGCAGCTCAGCATGATCGTGGTAGGCCAACTGTATAGTACAGCTCTGACGAGATGGCAGACTATCCACGAGCGAAAAAGTCTACGCGGCCTGACATGGGGCTTTATATAGGTCCTGCTATCGATTTCTGCCATCCTTGTCATTTGGTATTGGCTTCGTAATGGTAGTGGTTGAAAGCCCACATGCTGGACTGGAGATCTCTCGAGAATCCCGGCATTTGAGCAGCGTCCCACTCGCTCCAACACTAGTCTGGAGAGCTAGTAGAGCTTTGGAAAGGAGCTCGATGCTACCAATAGTCTACCTCCATGGGACTTGTCATCGTCGGGCAGCTACGTTGGTTAGGCTTCAGCTTTGACTGATTGGACTTCATTCTAACCCCACGCACGTTAGAGCTGCTCGCGAGACCTTCGCGGTATGTACAAGACGTTAAGCATGGATTTCCGTTACATCGTCTACAATTGAACCACCACTTTTTGAATGGGGTTTAGTTTTCCTTCCTTCCTCTCTTTTATTTTCTTGTAATAGGCATACTTCACAGATGCTCGGACATGCTTTGTAACAAATCTCCATAGTCCGGCGAACCAATAACTTCAGTTGATCCTTTTGACGTTGTTCTTGATTCGCCTCTGCCTCACGCAGTCATGATAAAGTCGGCAGATTT